GTTTATCAGTACATTACAGAAAATAATGAACTTTATCACAATATGCTAATTTTTTGAGAAGGACCTGTACTTTTTATGACTCATCGCCCGCCGCCAAAGGCAAAGGTGAAGCGATGTTTTTGTCCGTATGTTTGTCTGTACTGTAAGCTAAATGTTTTATGAAACACTGACACTTTCAAAAACTAATTATTGGGTGTAAACCTACAACTGATAAAAGTCAGTACTTCACATACCTTGTGTTATTTTAATTTAATAAAATGTTCAAATCTTCAACTTTTGATTTTTGTAACTTTTATATTTTTGAAAACGTTATTCATTTTCCTATAAATACAATGATTTATCATTCTCTCAAAAATTTGCTTCAGTTACAGGCTCCTTTTTTTAAACATGCTTTTTAGCTACCCTTTTCCTTCATAATTAGCTACTACTATTCTGAAACCTTTAGTTACTAGTTAATTTTACCCAGCAATTTAGTTAAATCAAACTTCAGCAGCCATTCAGCTCTCACTGTTTACACATTTTTACAGAAAATGACATTTGCCTCGTCTAGCTTTATTTTCTTTATCTAGTTTTAGAAGTCATTCAAATGTTATTACGGGCTAATTTTTCAGATATCTAGAAATTTGCAGTGTTTTACAAACAAAAAAAAGGCTATTTCATATTATCTGTTTAAAGTCCAGGTATGAAGTAACAATGTAGAATTAGAAAATAATGCCCCAAAGACTATCCTTTTCACCAAAGTACAAGGAAAGTAAATTTATTCTAGTATGTTTTTATACTACATTGGTAATATGCAAGTGTTAAATAAGTTCACTCAACATAAAAGTTCAAGTACGACTTGAAAATCTTTCTTTCATAAAAAATAAACTGCAACAAAATGTATACAAAGCACAAAGTTTAACTTATAGAAAAATGTGTGCAGTAAAAAAAAAAAACACGTTTTTTTGCTTTTAGATTAAATGTTTCACAAAATATCTGCCTACAAATCATCTAGARCTTTGCACTCTTCTCTGCAATCACTACAACAAAATAGTGTTGGTGTGAACAGAAAGCCGTCATAAATGCTGGTTTGAGTGTTTCAGTAAAAAAAACAACAAAAGTAAAACATTTAATTCACTGTTAATCGTTCTCAGTTCTCGCCTGTACAGATAAAATGTTCTAACCTTTTGTACCAGTTCACCCCAAACCAGAAAAGAAGCTGTAGTTCGGAAGGGAACAAGAAAAACATCCCCACAGTTCTCCCAGGCAGTAATGTAGGAATTTGAATGAACATTTCTCCATGTTTCCTGAGCACAAAAAGAAGAGCGGTCACTGCAACCTGGCTTTCTTCTCAGGAGGAGGTTTACTCGGTGGAGCCGGGGCTGCTGACTTGGTGGCAAGTTCTCTCTCTTCTTGTTTCACAGCCTCCGCAACAGGTTCAGGTTCCTTCTTTACCTCAACTGTAATATAAATACAGACATTTAGGAGAAAAACAACTTTACATTAGAATCTGCATAAAAACAAAAAAATAGCTGTTTTCCTTTGATTATTATTAAACTTTCAGAGACAGAAACTAAAATATAAATTCATACCTGGAATAGGTTTATCACCAGGTTTAGGCTGAAAACACAAGACAGGGAAATATTAAAACCCACTCGTGTGGAAACAAATTACCTAAACAATACTGTAAAAAAGGGGTGCACCAAAAGAATCGTGATTCTCATTTACAAAGATTCAGAATCGATTTAAAATGTCCCAAAATCGATTTTTATAAATAAAGAAATAAAGCAAATCCAATGGCCATCAGCCTCCATTTTGTAACTACACTGGACATCCTGACGTCATCACGCAGCTGCTTCTGGAACATGAACGCACCAAAGCAAAGAGGAAACTACAGAACTGGAGGAAAGAGTGCTTCAACTGTCCCCTGTCTTCATTGAATGCAAAGATTTGGGCTCATTTTGTTTTTTACTGAATGAGTCCGAGTTTGACATGAGCTTCTCTTTGTTGCAAGGTTTGCAAAATGAAGATGAAACACGACAAATGGGTTCACATTATCAGTTTTGAATGAAAGTTTGATTTTGAATCGAATCATGGCCCCAAGAATCAAATCGAATCGTGAGACAGTAAAAGGTTCCCACTCCTACTGTAAAGGCAAAAACTTAAAGAAATAAGCATGAATTAAATAGAAAACTGTAAAATGCACCTGGTAGAAAGTTGGTGGAAACTTGGATCTGAGGTCCAAAAGGAGTGTGTCAACACGTTGCCTCTGGAACAGAGAGCTAGGCTCTTCTTTCTTTTTGGACTTGGGTTTAGCCTTTTCTGTTGGAAAATGAAATGTTGATTAATAACTGACAGAGTTGTCATCTGATAATAAAATGGTGAATCGTTGGGGCTGAACRATCATTGCCTTGTAGATAGAAGTTGTTGCTTTCTGCTGTATTTCATTTCATTGCAGGAACATCATCACAATTTTAGTAGGACCACTTAAATATATAGATATTTTGTTTTTAATGAAATGAATAAGTTTCTAAAAAAAATAGAAATAGTTTTTTTTTATTATAACTTTTTTCTCGGCAGTGCTTATGAACTGCTAAAATAAACACATGAAGCTGTCTGGCTTTATGTCTTGCTGTAAGTCATTAACTAATTTGTTATATTTTGCGCAAATTAGCCACCACAAAACACCACATTCACTTCCTCATCAAGGTTTGAATCAGGTACAAAATCAGTGATGCAACGTAGGCACTTTCCAATCGTYGGACATCACCAATTATGTGACTTTTGCCAAACGAATCAAGCTCCGACACAGTGCTTCTGAAACAATGTTTTGTTATATTTTTCAATATTTGTGCCAGAGCTTCAACTTCAAACAGCCCATCAGTAACTATAACCAAAAGTTTGCTTTCAAACATTCACCTCTCTCTTCCTGATCCTTGAAGTGCCACCAGTATCCTTTAGATGGGTGATAACGGCAATATGACATGGCCTCATCAAACGCAGACTGGATACCGTGGACTGCAGAAAGCTAAATAATGCACATTTAAACAGAATAATCATATAAATTTGCCTTTTCAATATTACAGAATATTCAATATACAGTAAAATAATGTTCACCACTCTGGAGCTGATGACTGTTCCGAGGTCTGGGGCCTGATACACCACTCCTGCTATGATGTAATAGTCAGTCAAGGGAATCACTGCAGATTGAATGCACAGAGGTGGATACATGTTGAAATGTAATCGAAGTCATAAACATTCAAATTCCACCCAGTAAAGTAAGTAACCCACACAGAAAGTAAGTAAATTTTATTTTTATAGCAATTCTCACAAATAGACGTCACAAAGTGCTGCACAAGGACCAAAAATAAATAAAAAAAATACATCAAGTAATACATTTAGCTAAAAGCCTGTCTGAACAACAGTGCCTTAATCTGCCTTTTAAAGATGTTAACAGGATCAGCCTCACAGGGGCAGGGTGTTCCACAATCCAGGGGCTCTAACTTATAAAGACAGGTCTCCTCGAGTCTTAAACCTGGGTTTAAGAACCTTCAGGAGATTTTGGCCTGAAGACCAAAGATTGCGTCCAGAAGAATGATTCAACATTTCTGTAATATACTGAGGGGCCTGTCCATTAAGAGCTCTAATGCTGCGTTCACACCGAATGCGATTTCAGCTTCAAAATCACATCCAACGCTTCAAGTTGGACGCTTGTGCACTTTGAGGTCAGACGTAGGTCAGCTCTTGAAGCGCTGCACGGCAACAGCCTCCCCGCCCCTCCCTCCTCTGTCGGGCTCTGTTTAATGTCGGACGAGGAAGTGGCTTTGCTTGTTATTATTATATTG